TTCCCCTGGTTTTATCGCCGTCTGTTACCCACCTTCCGACAACTCTACCACCCTTGTCTTCACCACTCCTACCCCCCCTGGTTTTGTCTCCATCCATTACCCCTCTTCCTAATCCACAAACCACTTCGCCCAGACAGACTCCGTCATCATGTTCTGCCCTTGCAGAAAGCCTACTTCGCCRTCCTAGACGCCGACTTCGACCTACTTCCCAACCTCAACTTACTCCCCTTTCCTCCATCTTTGTTCTTGGACGAAGAAGAACCCGTTCATTCTCCCCACCACGATCGTCCCCAACATCCCGTCCTCGTCTTTTGCTGCCCCAAGCATCCTTACCATGCCTGCAACGCTCTTCGACTGCAGACCTTTCTGCAATACGGCAAGCACAAAACAGGAGGGATGATGGCGAGGGGCTATCCGAGGATGAACTTGGCAAGGGGAACGTAGGAGATTCTGTAGAAAATCCGCCTGACTGGCCTCCACCGAATCTGTGTGGCCTCGCTGCTACTAACATCTGCCTGCAAGCCTATCGTCGGGAACCATATACTCACTTTGATTTCTTGGCCATTGCTTCCGATCTTGATGCTCAGGAACGTGAGTTATATGGCGATAACCCGACTTTGCATCCCCCACAGGATAGTAATTACACTCGACATGGGGGATTCAATGTCTCTGTTTTGGAAACTGCTTTGATAAGGCGCCGACTTGATATGCAGCGTGCCCCTTTGGGTGGCGACCCGGACCACTGTTCGCACGTTTGTGCCTATATTCTACATGCTCCTAGCCACTACACCACTCTTGTCCGTGCCTCTGGTTCTTGGGAATTATGGCATGGCGGTGCTATGGTGTAAACTATTACTGCCATCTGTGATCTCGTGCGTAATTACCCTAACATGCAACTGTTCCACGTCATTGACCCTATGGGTACTTCGTGTACTTCCATGCCCGCCTCTAGGCCTATCTCTGTGCCTGCCTCCGTACCTGTCTCTGTGCCTGTTTCTGTGTCTGTCTCCTTCTAGATTACTGACTCTATGGGTACCACGTGTACTTCCGTCCCCGCCTCTGCACCTGTCTCTGTGCCTGCCTCCACACCTGTCTCCATGCCCGTTTCTGTGTCTGTCTCCGTGCCTACCTCAATGCCTGTCACCGTGCCTGCTTTAGTCTTCATTCCCCCACATGCTGCACTAACACCTTGTGACCTCCTTCTTTGTGAGATCACTGACACAGTTACACTTGGTTGTGGAAAGCATCGACTTTGTCGACATCAATACAACCGTATAATTTTTTGGGCCCGCTGTCGCAGGGATGCCACCTGTATCCAGATTGTGAACATCCTCTACATCCAGATGCAGTATGTCCCATCTGTGCCTGCGGGCACTATAGTGAATGTGCACTTTAACTGTGATGGTGAATGCCCCACAATTGTCATGGCCTGCAACCGGCATGCTCTCTGTCGTGCATGCTTCAGAGGTATGGTTAATGCTAGCCGCCCTGGCTCCTGCTGTGACGAAGTTGCTTACCTTAATGGTTTTCGTCCTGTAGATCAGCGGGAGGGCTGCTACCATCGCCCGCATCCTTATGACAACTGTCCTATCTGTCGTGAGGGTCTTACTTAGACGTACCTTGCACCCTGACAAAATTGTGCAGGT